GGCGGGGTCATTCCCCAGCTCAGGCGCAGCAGCTGAGCCCACCAGCCCGCGGCGCGGCGGGGACTGGAGGCGCTCAGCGCCCCCGGCTTGAGACAGCCCCGGGGCGGAGCCTGCGCGCCTGCCTGCCCGGGCCCCGCCTCGGCCGCGCCCCCCCGCCCACTCCTTTCACTTTCAGAGAAAGCGCGGGCCTCCCAGGGCCTCTGCCTGGCCAGGAAGGCTCCGGCTCGTTCCTCGGGGTGGTAGGGAAGCACAGACTCCTCCGTTAGCACAGAACTCGGCCGACCCCGGCCCGCCCTCTCTCCGCCGGCTTTCGTGGAGAAGGGAGGGCCCGCTCCTCCCGGCAGACTGTCTTCCCTGGCCTCGGGGTGGGAAGGATTCCCGCGGGCCCTGCCCCCGCCGGGGAGGGGTTGGTCCCGCGCTTGCTTCCCAGTTCGGTCCTTCGAGTTTCTTTCTGTGTTCCATTCATTCCAGGCAAAGCCTTCCGAGTCTCCGAGCTTTTCTCTCGCCCGCACCCCTTAGCACAGACTTCAAGGCCACCGGCATCCCCAAGTAGCACCATCCCAGGGAGTGTGCCCGAGAAGAGACTAAGGACGAGGCGAGGCTCACTCCCCTTAAGCGCTCCCAACTTCCCGGCGGGCGGAGAACAAGGTCAGAGGGCGGGGCCTGGTGTCTCCACGTGTCCCAGCCGAGTACCGGGCAGCGCCCCCATTACTGGCTGGCTGGCGCCCGGCCCTCCTTCCCGCTCCTCTCCTCTCGGAGCTGGGACTCCGAGTCAGCTGGGTGGCTTTAGGCAGGTCATTCCACCTCCTTGAAATACTGATTCTCCTTGGCAGGGTTGCTGTGAGAATCAAACCAAACCAAAGTTGTGAAGCCTCTAAAATTACAGAGCGGTTAGAGCCCGTCGAGGTGTGACTTTAAGCAGCCCTCCGAGTTCATTCCTCACTTGTGAACTTACCAAAACCTCATCTGACCCTCAAAGTTCGGCTGTGCATCTGGGCAGAGAGCGCTGATGTGTTTCACATGCTGCAAGGTGCCCTTCAGTGTCATCCCTGTGTGGCTATATGGCCACTTCCCCTGGCCTGGCCGTGGTTCAGGGGTTAACTGAATTTCAGCGCTACATTGAGTAGAAGGCGGTATTTCCTGTCTTCCCCAAATACTAGGAGTGAGGATCCCCCACCAGGCGCCTAGTGCCTGGGGATTGTTGGCGTCCAATGGCAGAAAGATCACCTTGGACACCGAGGAGGGCCACAAGGAGGAGTTTCCCCTCCCTTATCTCCCTTCAGCCAGGATTCAAGGATGGCCCTGGAGGTGGGAAAAAGAGGAGGTTTCAGAGAAAGACGGAAACATCAGTGAAGCAAGCAAAAGAATGTGAGAAAGTGTGAAGAGGAAGGGGGAAGAAATGCAGAGAATGCAGGAATGAGAGGAAAAGGGAAACACAGGGCCCGCATTCCTCACTCCTGTGAAGAACCTGGGAAAGCTCATGGCCCCCTCTCTGGGGCTCAGAGTCTGAGTGTCTGTGCGAGGGGACTACTCTGCAGCCTGAAGGCTCTGAAGCACCCCATCTCCAGCAGTCCCTCCCCTCCCTCCTTCAGAGCTGCTCACCGGCCTGTGGAAGGAGGTCTGCAAGGTTGGGGAAAGCCAGCAAGAACTCCCAGTACAGGCAGGAAGGGAAGTGAGGGAGGGAGATGCACCGCTGCGTACCAATGTACCAGTGTTAGACCAGGCACTGGCCCTCTGTCCCAGCTGCTCTGAGGAAACTCAGGGACAGTTGCTTTTCTTCTGTATCTTGTCCAAGCCTTAGATCCGCCACACCAGCAAGCAAGGAAATGCTCTTTGCCATACCAGCCCAGGTGCCCCTCACTGGAAAATCAAGGCAAACCTGATAGGACCAGCAGATGGCGTAATGGTTACGTCACTGAACTTCCAAGTAGTCAACTGTGGTTCAAGTCCTGTACCCAGAGAGGAGAATGCGGGAGAAGGGATTGAGGTGTGGCCATCCCCCTGGGGGGATTTCTCCTTTTCTGTCTCTCTGGCAAGTGCACACACCTTGTAGCGCTAACAAGGAGTGCTGAATGGAGAGCAAACCCCATAGATTTTGAAAGCAGGAAGGGGCCCTCGATATATCCCATTTTCCTTGCTCACATTACAGAAGAGTTTAAGTGACTAAGCCAGGGAGGTCAGAACCCTTGCACAAGGTCACACAGCTGGCTGGGAAAAGCCAGTGTATCCTGGCTTAGGCCCCCTACTTCTGTTCCTGCGCTCCATTTCTTTCACTAACACCTTGTACTTCTGGGCCAGCCCTGTGGCCCAGCAGTTAAGTGAGCTGCATCTTGCATGGCCAACAGTGCAGGTGAAATCCTAGACTTGGTAACTTGAAAAACATGCTGGCGTGTGTGTGTGCATGCACATATGCACGTGTTCATGCATGCCCAAAATCCTGAAGGAGAGAGAAATGGAGGCGAGGAAGCTGTGGTATGGCCACTCCCCATAGGGACCCTTTCTCCCTCTCCCTTTCTGTCTTTCTCTAACAAGTGCGTATGTACACCCTCTGCCAAATCAAACACACATCTTGTGGCTCCTTACCAATGTAGACAGTCTGCTTCCCCCTGCCACAGGCAAAAAACAAGGACACCTATTGCAGCCAGACCTGGGGACCCAATATAGCTGTGGGACGAGGTCAAGTGCCTCTAACGTCCTCTTAGACAAGCCAGGAATGAACATTGAAACCTAGACCGTCTTTTTGTTTGTGCCTGTTTCTGCAGGTTTTTTTTTTTTAATTTTGCTAAGGGGCATATGGGCTCACCAGAGAGAGAGAGAAAGAGAGAGAGAGAAAGAGAGAGAGAGTGAAAGTGAGATAGCATCCTCTAGGGAGGATGACCAGGCCACAGTCCCGTCTCCTCCATTCTCCTCTCAGGATTTGGGTGTGAACAGATGTGCAAGAGCCTGGTGTCTTTTTCAAGCTGCCAGGTCCCGGATTTGAACTGTGCTGTCCGCCATGTGGGATCCTGCCACCTTAACCTCCATGCTAGCTGCTGACCGACCTTGTTTCCAGTCTTTGATTCCTTAGAGTAGAAGGAATGTGGAGAAAAATCTGATGAATACCATGTAGTAGAAGGAATGGCCGGCCTGGATACTGCAAAAGAAGAAAAGCCGTGGGGGAGGCGGGGGACTGGAGCACGGAAGTCAAGTGTTGTTTGTTGGCATAGGGGGGGCACGTGTGTTCACAGGAGAGACAAGGAGAGAAAGTGAGAAATCACACACACACACCGGGGAGGGATGACTATGCCATAATCCTAGCACAATTTTCTTTTCTTTTTTTTAAGAGACTTTTTTTGCTATAGAGTGTGTGCACCCACTGAAGAGACAGAGAGACAGAAAACAAGAGATAACCCCCCCAACGGGGGTGGTGGTGGTGATGGCTACGCCATTGCCATTCTACTCTCAGGATTTTGGGCACAAACTCACCTGAGCCCAACATGTTTTAAGGCGCCAGACCCAGGACTCAAACCACAGTCGGCTACGTGGGAGTCCAGCAACACGGCCATTATGCCATCTGCTGGTCCCAATCCTGGTAAAATTTTCAAACTATAGGGCCTGTCTCAAACCTCAGCATCCTCTTGTACCTGGATACCCACTTTCTAGGGCATCTGAATCCTCTGCATGGCCTTCAGGACTCCCCATGAGGGCTGCATTCCTCCTGGAGGGTGACAACCCTGGGGCATAGACCCTGGGAAAGGGGAGGGCCTGGGAAATGGGATGTGCCTGGTGGCAGGTTTCTGGGGTCCTGGTTTTATTCCCCTCCTGCCTTATGGTTCTGCCCCACCTCCACCTCCAGGGTCAGAGCAGTTCCAGTGAGCCAGGGCAGGAGTAAAATCACTGCTCACCACCCCTGCCAGGTACAGTGCCACTCCTGCTTCCTAAAACGGACAAGCAGGGCCCTCACCTGGGGACAGGGCAGGCACGCAGCCTTTGACCTGTGCTCAAGCGGGAGTGGGGCACCTGCTGCTGTGACTAGCTCAAAGGCCTCTAGGTCTCTCCGGAGGGAGCAGAGCCTCTGGTGTGCGTGCATGTGCACATGTGTGCTGGCGGTGGGAGGTTCTCATTCTAGAAACACCACCACACATGCTCTGTGGGCTTGGTGTTCTTCCAAGGGACTGTCTGACCCTAAGATTCCCGTGCGTGAAAACACGTGATTCACTCATTCATTCACAGGCCAGCAAACTTCCACTGAGCAACTGCTCTGAATCGGGCCGCCTGCTGGGTGAAAGGATGGAGAAATGAGTGGCTCCTGTGATGACTCCGTTTTGCATGATTTTATGGAGGAAGGAAACCAGAAAGGATCCAATCCAGAAAACAGGCCCAGGATGCCAAATGGCTGCCTCCACTCTGTTTCTGAGAAACTATCAGGGAGGCCCTGGGAATCTTGGCCCCTAGTTCTGGTCAGTCCAGGGCCTTCTCTGCTCTGAGCACACTGGAGAGGGTGCTGGCTGGGCTGCTGGGCAGGCCCTGTGGAAACTCCAGGTGGGGGAACTGGAGTCTCCTTTCGGGAAGAGGAGTGCCAGTCTGTCATTACATGACTGGTGGCCCTCAACTGCAACCCCAGACCCCTTCCCAGGCCTCTGGGTCTCCCCTCCTCTGCAGTCTGGGACCCAAGACCACACAGAGGATGCGCCAGCCTTGGGGGGAATGTGGGATGGGTTCAAGGGCAGTTCTGCCGTTCAGGATCTGGCAGCACTGGCTGACCCTCCACCATCTGAGTCATGCTTGTCTAAACGGACAGAATGTCACCACGCCCGTGGCCCGCGTGGGTGCAGTAAGAGCACGTCTCCCCGACACACTTCAGAAACAAGGTTTCCCGTCCCTCGTCCCTCGTCCCACGTCCCTCGCAGGAGCCTGCGTCCTTGCGCATTTCCATCTCTCCAGAACTCAGAACCTGCAGAATCCCTGCCATAGCCAAGCGGAGGCGGAGGCAGAGGGGACCGGGAGGGTCTGAAGCCAGGGACTCCGTGTGCGGAGGTGACTGCCTGGGAGCAGCCGGCCTCCGTTCCTCACGTCCCCATCGGGGAACTTTCCTCAGTCCTGTAGCGCGGGTGATGAGCGCGGCAACTAATCCCATTCGCGGTCGCGGAGCCTGCGGGTGTGGCCCACCGGGTGGCGGTGACCGACTCCACCGAGCATCGGGGACAAGGCGGAACCAGGAGTCACGGGCAGATGCCCGTAGGTCACGGCCCGGGAGACTAGGGCCCGCCGCGCCTTCCTGGGCACCCCCGACGGGCGCCCGCAGCGAGCGCGCGGGGAAGCTGCGGCCCGGGCTTCCCACGCGCGCCCAGCGGAGGCCCCTGCCCGGACGCGGCACTCGGACCGAGGACGAGCCGGCGCCGGTCGGGGATTCGGGACACCCGCCCGCCCGGGGGAACAGGTGGTCGCCATCAGTGGCCGCAGTGTTTCTCGAGCTCTTAGGTCGAACCCAAAGGACGAGACCCCGGGGTTCTGACGTCTGTGGCGTCTGCTGGGCCATTGCTGGAGCGGTGCGCAGGGCCTTGCCGAAGGGGACAGAAGTGGCAAGCTCAAGAGTCCCCGGAGGTGGTAGCCTGAGCAGGCTGTCCGCTTAGCTCCTCCCCCTCTTCCCACTATCCATTGGGTGTGAACTAAGGGCCCGGAGGAGCCAGGTGCTGGGGATACCGAGGAATGCGGCGGACACTCCTCCCAAACGGCGGGTTGGAGACGCCAACGCCGTATACGCGTGGGAAAGGTCGTCCCAGGAGGAGCCGGCGGAAGGCGCGCCCAAACCAGAGTAGGAGGGGCCGAGAGGGAAGGCTTCCTGGAGGAGGTGACCTTCTGGTGAGCCTGATGGATGAGGAGGGGTTTCCTAGGGGAAGTCCATGGAGACAAACCAGCGCATTCTGGGCTGGGTAAATGAGTGCAGTCTGCACTTAGCAAAGCAAAGCAATCGACAATTAAATGAGGGAGAGAGAGAGATAGAGAGAGAGAGAGAGAAAAGATATTTTGAAGAAGGTATCGAGGTATCATAGGAAGGACCAGAACGTTGTTGTTGAGCTGCTTTTGCGCTTCCTTTCCGATTTGGCACTGTTGACAGTTTTACTTACCCTTGGGGGCAGTGGGGAGGTCGGATCTCGCGATTTTTCGGAGCCCACTGGGATAGTGGCGAAGAGGCGTCAGGCTCCGTCCCCGTCCCCGTCCCCGTCCCCGTCCCCGGGATCACATAGTTCAGAGGAGTTCAGAGTAGGTAGGACGGGCAGTCAGTAAAAAGGGGGTGTGCATCCGGGGACTGGAGGGAATGACAGCAATTAGGGCAGGGCTGAGTGGTGGCTCACCTCTGGAAGGTTCCCCAGGCCAGCCCCAGCGCCTATGTTAAACCTCAAACTGAA